AGTTAACCCTTCATATAAGTGGGGAGGAGACAAGGGGCAGGGACTGTGCTAAAGACGGGAGAAGAGAGGGCAGAAATGGGGGGTTCTCAATGCGACTGAGAACTAGGAGCTATGTCTGTAATAAAAGGCACACACCAGGACAAACTTCAATTGAGATTGTATTTGTAATAACATTCACTAACAAGAGCACGTTCAAGAAGATCTCGACGTTGAGTACAATGGTCGGTTAGTAGCGGGGGGAAGGGTAGAGTCAGGCAAAAGTCATCTGACACGCTTGGTCCCAGTCTTCAACAATGTCACGGTACATAATATTGAGACATTTTTGTGGTGTTCTAAGTTCCCTTGAAATTGAAGGAAACACGAATGGTTAGTCTAACTTATAGCAAGACGAAAAAGAATGGTTAGGACTGGGAAAGATCGAATTGAGACGGATTACGAACCATTAACAAATGCTACATTTTTCAACAGGGGCCAACCGCAACTTGTTCTCACAATAGATCTGATACTGCATTTTAGTATTAGTCGTGATATCACCAAGACGTTAAGGATATCAATTAATATTTTGTTTGTTTTTTCAAATATTTGTCTGCTTCCCAAGGCAAATGGAAATATCGACGTAAAAGGATTAATGAAAGTTTGGACAGATCAGAAAGGATTTCCCATCGTTAACATACGAAAGCAGGGAGGCGTGTTTCACGTTGAACAAGAAGACGTCCTTGAGGATTTAAAAAAAGAAAATAAACAAGCAGAGAACAGGTAACCAAGAGTGAAGTAACCATGGTTTCTTTCCCCTTCGGGTACTAAATTTTCGCGCGTAAATTATAACCAATCACAGGTACAATACGGATCTCTGAAGACCTATGTCATCAGAGTGAGATTTTTCGACTCCAGTCTCCGACATCTCTCGAGCGCACGAAGAATTGAGCCCGCGGAGAGAAATTTCTGTTCGCTCGGACTAATCAAAATCTTGGTATACACATCTTTTACGCGTCGACAGATAGGGAGAGCACTCTTTGGACGAGCTTACATTGCGGCTCGAACGCCTTTTGACAGGTCCGTAACAGCTCTCAAAAACTAAGTTAAAAAACTCCCGCCTGTCGCGATAGTAAGATGTGT